CTGAGGAGGTGTTGTTTTCAGAGAGAAGGGTGACGATGGAAGGGCATGAAGACACACCGAGCTTCCAGGCAGGCAGAGGAGCCTATACAAAGATGGGATAAGAACACACAGTATCCATACTGAGGGACCAGAAGGAGGTCAGCATGACTCCGGCAGAATTAAAATAGCAGGTGAAGGCCGAGGGGGTCAGCTCCATCCAGTAGCTTTGGCTGGCCTGGGATCCTCTGATCTGTTGTGGAAATAGAGAATTCTATCTCATGGGGACTTTGATTTATCAGCCCACATGCTGTAAGCTGAGGCAACGCTGGGGCCTGGCATCTCCCAGGAGAAAAACTCACTGGAGAACCTGGTCTGACTGGCAAGGTCCTTAACCTCGCAAGCACACAATGACAGATGTCACACGTCAGCACTAGAATCCTCACCTAGCTCAGGTTTTATCAGCTCCTCTCTAATTGCCTTTGAGTCTTAAAAAAAGAGCTGAAATTTTCTCCACCTTCTAGTCTGGGCCAAAAAATCGAAAGGGTGGGTGGCCTTTGTTAGACTGTGAGGGAGAGCCAGCAGATGTGAACTCGGAGTGCAGGTCTTCGCCAATGGGTTGAGGTCACCCCCACCCCACCCCTGCTCTCCAAGCCTGTTTCCTTAGTGCAGTGTGAAGTGGCTTCTCCCTAGGGCTGGGTCCAACTCTGCTGCTGTGTGAGGTCATGGATCCCTCTTCACCGCAGGAGGGAGGCTTTCTCCTCTGGTGTGGTCACATGTGGAACTCAGATTGTTTCCCTGATTCATTCTGCTAGGTGAGATGGGGTTAATCTTGACCCAGATTGGAGTGTAGGATTCAAAGCTTTGTATGTATGTGCCTGTGTGCATGTTTGTGTGTGTGCGCAGGTATATGTCTGTGGTGTGTGCCTTTGTGTGTATACAAGTAGAAGACGGAACAACTGTCTACCTTATTTTTTGAGGCAGAGTTTCTCACTGAACCTGTAACTCACCCATTAGGCTAGGTTGTTTGGCCCATGAGTCCTAGGGACCCACCTGTCTCTATCCACTTCCTTGGCACTGCGATTGTGAGGGCATGCCACAACGCCAGCTTTTTCATGCGGATTCTGAGGGTGGAAACCAGGTCCTCCTGCTTGCAAGGGGAACACACCACAGACTGAGCTACCACCTAGCCGAAACATGCTTTCAGCATCTAGAATCTTCCAAGTTCTTGGATTCCTCTACCAGCTGTTGGTCCTGCCAAGCTAAGGTGTTGTTTTTCACAGTTTGGGACCAACAAAATTGGAAAATTAGAGTCTGTCCATTATTTGCTCTTCACAAAGACATGCCACTCACGTGGACTGATCAACAGCCACTGTCACATGCAATCTGAAAGACAAGAGGCATTTGAGGGCAGATGAGGTGGCTTCTTATAAGATGTCCTTCAGCATGGGTCAGGCATTGCCCTAGTTTGGTTTCTGATGCTCTGATAAAACACTATGACCAAAAGTAATTAAGGGGAGAAAGGGTCTCTTGGCTTGTCATTCTGGGTCACATCACAGTCCACCACTGAGGGAAGTCAAGAGAAGAACTCAAGCAGGAATCATACATAGAAGAAGGCTCTCTTGGTTATCTTGCTTCTTTTTCTCCCCCTCCATCTCCATCTTTTTCTCTTCCCTGTCTCCCTACCCATGAACACACACACACACACACACACACACACACACGGGCAGTTTCTCTGTTGAGGTTCCCTCTTGTGGCTCTAGGTTGTATCAAGTTGACAATAAATTGAGTACACACAGAGGCTAGAGAAACGGTTTGGTGGCTGATAGCATGGATGGCCCCCAGAGGACGTGGGTTCAGTACCCTTGCACCTGTGTAGTGACTTACAGCTACCTATAACTCCAGTTCCAGGGGATCCAATGCCTTCTCAGGCCTCTGCAGACACTAGGCACAGGCATACATATGCATAGAGCAAAACCAAACCAAACCAAAACCAAAACAGCAAACAGTTGAGGGGCACAGACACTATCTCAGACCATTTGGGCTACTGCCACAGAGTACCATGGACTAGGGTTCCGTCTGCAAGCAATGCTTGCTTCGTACATCCTGGAGGTAGGGAAGGCAAGATGCCAGCCTTGTCTTCTTGCCTTGTCCCCACTCAAGGGAGTTTTCTGAGGTCTCTTTATAAGAGGGCCACTACTCCTGTATGTGGTGGTAATACTGATTGTCACCATGGCAATATCTACAACAGTGGTTCTTTCCTAATGCTATGGCCACTTAACACAGTTCCTCATGCTGTGGTGACCCCCAGCCATAACATTTCCTTGCTACTTCATAATTATAATTTTTCTATTGTTATGAATCATAATGCAAATATCTGTTTTCCGATGGTCTTAGGTGACCCCTGTGAACGCGTCATTCAGCCTCAAGGCAGTCATGCCCCACAGGCTGAGAAGCACTGATCTACACTCACATTGGAGACAAGCTTCTAGGCACACCTGTGAGGGATTATTTAGATTTTTTTTTTTTTTTTGCCCTTCATGAGGGATTCTCATGACTAGACTCCTCTTTCTGAGGCAGACTGTTGATGGAGCCACTCCTGTGCAGGTGACCACAGCTCCTGAGAGTGCTGTGTATGTCCTGACTAGGGAGTCTCAGCCTGTGACCAAGCATCCTAGGTTGCTTACCAACAATGGGTATTTACTACTCACGCTTCTGGGATTGGAAATCCAAGGATCACGGTACCGATGCTTTGGCATCTTGTGATGACTTGCTTCCTGGTTCAAAGATGGCTGACTTTTCTGTGTCCCCATGTGGACAAGTATTAGAGGTCACAGTTCCGTGAGATGGATTATTTGAAGATAATTATAAATCTGAAAATGTTTTAGCTCAGTGTTTCGTGTTTGTAGATGTAGGTTTGTATGTGTATGCATTCATATGTGTGCAAGTGTACGTGTGTGTGTGTGTGTGTGTGTGTGTGTGTGTGTGTATTGGTCTGGGCCTGTTGATTAGATCGATCCTTCTGGCCAGTGAACCCCAGGGATCCAGTCGTCTCTGCCTCCCCAGGTCTGGGATTGCATTGTACCTGGCTTGTTTTTTGTTGGTTCTGGAGATCAAACTCAGACCATCCACTTGAGGGGATAACACTTCACCAACGAGACACACCCCACCTGTGGACACTTCAGAGCCATGAAGAATCTATGTGCAGAGGGTTCATGTCCCCCACCAGTGTCCCCGTATTATCATCTCACAACCCCAGTGTGTTCTCCCCATGATGGGCTCATAATGCTACAGATAAAGTCATGGATGCAGTTTTAATGTCCCAGTTTTTCCACTGATGCTTTTAGTCCCTGAACTTACCCTCAAATGCCACGCTAGATTTAATTACCAAACCTCCCAGTGTTCAGTCGGTGACAGATTCCAGATATACCTTTGATATGGGGGGAATGAAGATCAGGTGCTTTCTAAGTGATAATTTAGTTTAGGATTGCTTGATAGTCTTCGCATTAATCGGAGGCCATGGATTTGGGGTGAGTCACGACAGAGGCACAGTCCCATCTCCTCATAGGATGTGTGGTATCACAACTCATGTTAGCCTCAATTACTCGTCCGGGTGGAGTCTGGTGTCCCATCTCCTCATAGGATGTGTGGTATCACAACTCATGTTAGCTTCAATTACTCATCCGGGTGGAGTCTGGTGGGCTAAAGCCCTCTGGTGCTACCATTCCCCCATTTCTTTCATTTTTTATTACATTTTAAACTTAGAGTGTGTGTGTGCGCGTGCATGCACTTGAGTGTGCATGTATACTTGCCACAGCATGGGTGGAGGACCATGAACAACCTTGGCAGTCGGTTCTCTCCTTTTACCACATGGGCCCCAGGGATTGAGCTCATGCCAGCAGGCCTGGCAGCAAGCATCTTCACCCACTGATCCATTTCAGCTGCCTCCTTTTCCCTTCCCTTTGTTGGAACTGCTAGTCTTGAGGCTCTAAGTCCAAGGAGAGCTGGTGATCCTGGGGTAGTTGGTCCTCCTAGGAGGGAGAGTAGATAGGAATTTGTGAGCACATACAGTCGGAGCTGCTGCTGTCAATGGTGGGCGTTTGCGGGGTGGGGGCGGAGATGCTTTCACGTTGTACAGAAACCCCAAGTCCAGAGAGGTAATTTTTTAAAAAATGATTTAGTTTAGTTTCAATCCTGGCAAGGCAAGCTGTCTCCTTTGTCCCTGCGTCTGTCACTAGGATAGCAATTTTATTAATAAACTGCTAAAGGATGATCCTATTTCTCTCTAAATATCTGCTCCCGTGTTGAATTTCTGCTGGCAGTTGCATTTTAATCCTGGAGAACCTGGAGGCTGTGTCTCAGGGGAGCAACGCGTGGGAGCTCAAAGGGGATCTCTAGGGGCCTGATGTCAGGAGATAGCAATGAAGATGCCAGCCTTGAACATGTGACTCACCCATTTGCTTGCAAACGTTAATGCCGCACCTACAGGAAGTGTGAAAATCACGTCAACAGTGGACTATTTTTAGGCACCATTTTTTCCCACCTTGAAGATTATCTTTGAAATCTCAATTGTGTGAATGAAAAAAAAAACCCACATGGGTTTTAAGTATCTCTAAAGAGAAAGGATCCTGTGGCTAAACCAGTTTGTTCCGTGAGGAAGGGTTCTTGGGCAGTGCCGTGGTTCCCAAATTCTCAGTTGCCAGCTTTGTGAATTCTCTAGAGAATACTACTTGGACATCATTCTTGGCATTATAACCAATCCTGTAACAATCAATGATTGCTGTGTGCTTTAGCAGAACTGCAGGCAGGGGGAATACATAATGGCTTTGTAAATATTAGTCTGGCTATTTTTAATAATCCTTTCTCAACTCCAGGCACACAGGTGACCACCTGCGGTATACTGCCACCTGGCGGCAGCGTGTCTGACCCATCCCTTATACTTTACACAATGCTGGTGGGGAAGATGATTGCGCTAGCGAGATTTGACAAGATGACTTGTCAAAATCTGGAATGCTCTCTTCTAGGATGACTTCCTGTTCAGTGTCTCCATTTTAAGTGGGATCCTCTGCAGCGTCCTGGCTGTGCTGAAGTTTATGCTGGGGAAGGTCTTGACAAGCAGAGCTCTCATCACAGATGGTGAGTAGTGTAGGCGTTTCTTGTCTGAGGGCTGAGCTCTGAGCCAGGGCAGGTGCATCTGGATGCTGGTAGATGCTGGTCTTGCAAGTGAACTTGACAACTCAGGGATCCATTTACCACCAGCCCTATTCCTCAAACTTCTTACTTTGTGACTCTTGGAGCTCTCACGCCAAAGCAGGCGTCTACCACCCTAAGTTTCATCATATAAAACAGAGCAGAAATGACTGGGTTTCTTTTTTTCTTTTTGGTTTTTCAAGACAGGGTTTCTCTGTAGCTTTGGAGCCTGTCCTGGAACTAGCTCTTGTAGACCAGGCTGGTCTCAAACTCACAGAGATCCGCCTGCCTCTGCCTCCCCAGTGCTGGCATTAAAGGCGTGTGCCACCACCGCCCGGCATGACTGGGTTTCTCTTGGTTTCCTGAGATAGGGTCTCGTATGGAGCTCAGGCTGGCCTTGGACTTTCCTTTCTCCTATTTAGCCTCCCATGTATGGGGATTACAGATGTGTCCCACTAGACCTGGCCTTTTATTTTCTTAAGGAAAGAAATAGAGCTAGGGACATAACCAGTTCATAGAGTGCTTGCCTAGCATGCACAAGCCTTGGGGGTTCGAGCCTCAGTAGGGTATTGTCTGGGTAGAGTGGTGCACACCTGCCGTCCAGCACTAGAGACGTGGAGGTACAGGGGCCATAAGTTCAAGGTTACCCTTGTCTTCATAGTAAGTTCAAGGCCAGCACAGGCTACATGAAACCTTGCCTCACAAAGCAAACAAGACATCGGTCAAATTTATTTAAACTGAAGGATTGTAGGCTGAGATTGTTTTTCTCTGAGGATGTATCTATGGCCGGGTTCTTCAAGCAGAAGATAACAGAGCCTGGTGGGGCCTTGGTCTCTCTAAGCTGTGGATTCTGTGTCTCCCCCATCTGTGTTTCACCACCTGGTGCCTGGGGTGGGGGTGGGCCCCAGAGTAGTCAGAACGGCCTGCTAAGCTCCTAGGATGGAGACAGCACAGGCACTCCCACTGTCATTTCCAAGGTAGACCTATCAGTCCCCAGGCTCTGCTGGCTTGCAGAGGCCTGGGGTCTGTATGCCTTCTGCTGCCCCCACCTCCGCTGCAATGAAGCTTGAAGCCTGAGCATGAACTCAGTGGTCAGAGCCACCCCCAGACCTGTCCATGATCACAAAGACCACCTATGGCTGTGACAAGACACCCCAACCAATCCAACTTAGGGGGAAAGAGTTTATTTGGCTCATACTCCCAGGGCTCATCCCATCATTTCAGGTAATCAGGAAAGGGATTTGAAGGAGTTCAACATATCCACAGTCAAGGGCAGAGAGAATGAACGTGTGCTTGCTTGTTAGTGATTAGCTAGCTTTTCCACTCAGCTACAGCCCAGTGCCCAAATTCAGGGGCCGGTGCTGCCCCCTTCGGGCATTATTCCCACAGCAATTAAGTCAATAGGGACAATTCTCCAAACCTATAGGCCAACCTGACCTAGACAATCCCTTATTGAGACTCTCTCGCCCCTTGATGCTTGACTGTGTCAAGTTGACAACGACCATCGTTCGAGTATGACCTCATCTCTCTGCACTGATGGGCCTCGCGCCTGTGTATGTGGTTTTCCCTTATCCTCAGAGCTGCTTCATATTCAGATCTGTGCTTAGGCTTCCCTGAACTTCCGACTTCCCACCACCGTACTGAGTGTCTCGCTGTGTTGCACATACACGGAGAGGCCGAAGGACAGTCGTGGTCATTGTTCCTCAGTCACTGTCCTCCTTGGCTTGTGAGTAGACCAGACAGGCTGGCTAGTGAGCCCCTGCAATCCACCTCTCTCTCCCTCCCCAGAGCTGGGATTACACATGCATGCCACGATGCCTGGCTCTTTGGTTTGTTTTGTTTTACATCGATTCTGGGGAATAGAACTCAAGTCTCCATTTATGGACCGAGCTATCTCCTCTGCTCCCTCTGAGCTTGATTTCCTACCTAAGTGGATAGGTCCATCATGCTCAAACTGGAAGGAAACTCCAAAGAAAAGTCAGTATGTGGAACGAAAGTATTCGTTCTCAAGCAGATGACTGCTGATTGGCTTCCTCCAGGAAAAGGGGTTCCTACCAGCTGGAAAGGGGCTCTGGAAGTTAGTGGGGGCAGATCCCAGGGAATGACTGTTCCCTGGGCAGAAAGACAGAAGTATGGCTATTTTATCAAATATTTAAGTAGTTGGGAGACATGACTAATCCATTTTGAAGGCACTTCTGGGTCTCTTGAGTGGAGAGCAGAAGGGAGGGAGGTAGCCACTGAAGTGGGGACAGGGTTCTGGGGAGGCAAGGAGGTGGCCGCAAGAAATGGTTAAGAGGATGCCCCCCCATGAATAATGGCAGCAGACCCCTTCTCCTACAAGGGGGTGTCTCTGGCAGATGGAGCTATAGTAATTACAGCCATCTCCTCATTGTGCAGTCCAGAATCTGGGCTCCAGTTGTTCATTAGGTTTAGGGAGCTACCTGCAACCCTTTCTTCTCTCTTTGGAAGCAGAGTGGGGTCAGGATTGAGGGTCCCTGGCTATTCTTATTGTTGGGGGTCCATTTTTCAGTTATGAGAAGACAATATACTGCTCCATTCTGCCACCCTCAGTAGCCTGAGGCGTTTTCTTAGACTTTTAGGGATTTTAGTCCCAGCCACTTGGGATTGATGGCTTTGATGCTGGAAAGAATTTCAGAAGTAGCTGCTGTAGTAAAGTGGACTTGGTTGGCTTATTAAAGGTATTTTAATATAGGCTTCCAAGAAGGTGCTCAGAAGACAGTAAACACAGCCACACGAGGGGAGGGTGCCTCTCAGGGGAGAATACGAGAAGTAAGATGTACTCCAGTGTGGATGTGAAGTCCTCAGGGCACAGCAAGTGATTAGCTGCCATAGCATTGGCCATTTAGACCCTTCTAGTGTCTCTCAAGTTTCATCTCAACGGTTGCTAAGAACTCTCTCTCTCTCTCTCTCTCTCTCTCTCTCTCTCTCTCTCACACACACACACACACACACACACACACACACACACATTTCCTTCTCTTTTCCAACCTTCTGGAGATGTCTTGGATGGGACAATATCTTGATAAGGGGAAGCTAGGAGCCATGAGGTGATACAGAGGGTTAGTACGTGCTCTTTCCCTGAAATGGGCTTTCTGGTGAGATTCCCAGAAAATTCTAGCCTTGTGACTAAGATGGGAGAGAAACCTTAAGTAGCTGTCAGTTACCAGGAGATTCTTGCTTGTCTGCTGGTGAGTGGCCTTAGCTAGATGCCTGGGGAGGGGCTTCTTTCTCTTTTTGTCCCCCCTCTCCCCCCCCCCCTCCCGCTAAACTTTCCCTACATTTCTATCTTGCCTCACTTTGGTGCATGCCCTGTGGCTGTTCCTCTGGTTGAGGCAGAGCCAAGAATCTTCTCTCCCAACAGAGACCAGAAGTGACATTCTAGAACCCTTATCCTATGAGCTAGACAGCCCCTGACTTGTTCCCATGATGTCAATGCATCCTGGACTGGAGTTCTGTGGGAGCTGGGCCCCGCTGGCTCAGCCGGCTGGGTCCTTGGTGTGTGTGTGTGTGTGTGTGTGTGTGTGTGTGTGTGTATGGGGGACAAGTGTCTTGGCATTCAAGAAGCAGGTCTTCAGAAGAAAATGACAGCAGCTAGTGGGGGGGGGTGGAGCCAGGGGGTGGGGGAAACGGCCGGCATCTTCTTCATGCACCTCGGAGGCTCTTGGTCCAGCTGGTTGGTTGCTGTAGACATTCAGTAAGCATGTAAACATGCCCTCAGACAGAAGGTGAAGCCAGGAATGTAGCTCTGTTATAGGAGTGCTCACCTGAATGAGTAGAGATCTGGATTCCATTCCTAGTGCCTACTAAATCACCTACTAAACCGGGCATAGTGGTATAAGCCTGTAATCCCAGCGCTCGGGAGGAGGGCCGGAGGGTGGGCAGTTTCGGCTCATTCTTGGTGAGTGTGAGGCCAGCCTGGACTGCAAGACTAAAATAGCCCTGAGCACAACTGAGGAATCAAAGTAAGACAACTATGCAAGAGGCCACCTTGTGGAACTTTCCAGTAAGGGTTGGCAGTCTGAAGGAATCAGGGAACCCCCTGAGAAGAGGGGCCAGATGTCTCATTCCTTTCCAACTTGAAAACACTTGGAACCTCTGTGAAAATCCTTATCAGACTGTTCGGCATGGAATTAAAGATTACACAGATCAATTAGTTACACAGATTCCAATCTAGTCGTGAAAGTCAGGTCAGTGGCATCTCCAGTCAGCATGGCCCCCACTAGTCTGTGCTGTCAAGCCAGCCACAGGGTTTATTCACAGAGACTGGTGTGTGTGTGTGGGGGGGGGGGGGCACTCGAGAACTTTCAGGACCCTGTGATCGCAGTCTTGGCAGCCAGGGGCAGAAGCAGAGGCAGGGACAGAGGCAGAGGCAGGGGCAGGGGCAGAGGCAGGGGCAGAGTCAGAGGCTGGAACAAGGGCAGAGGTGGGGGCAGAAGCAGGGGCAAAGGCTGGAGCAGAGACAGGAGCAGAGGCAGAGGCAGGGGCAGTGGCAAAGGCAGGGACAGGGGCAGGGACAGAGGCAGAAGCAAGAGCAGAAGCAGAAGCAGGTGCTAAGGAAGAGGCAGAAGCAGAGGCAGGGGCAGAGGTAGAGGAAAGCTAGGCAGCCCAGCTAGCTCCAGGTTCAGTGACTGTCTTGAAAAACAGGATAGAATGTGATATGAGAATGACCGCTGAGGGTGACCTCTTCTCTCTCTCTCTCTCTCTCTCTCTCTCTCTCTCTCTCTCTCTCTCTCTCTCTCTCACACACACACACACTACACGTTGGTGGTGGTGGGGGACTGTGAGACAGTCTGGAGTCAGTCCCTAGTCCCTGTCTATGAAAGAGAAGACACTAAGAGTCAGGCTATGTCACAAGCAGAGGATCCCCCCCCCCCCACCCCCCCAGCATCAAGCTCCGTTGGCCTCAGCTGCTCATCAGGGAGGCTTTGGACAGCTGTCCGTGGTGCTGACTGATGAGGGCTGGATCAGTGGAACTATGTGGACATCTAGTGGCTGCCTGGGGAACTTCTCCTCTTTTCTGAGCAGCGCAGCAAGGCGGTCCTCCCCTCCAACACACACTACAGGGACAGCTGAGGTCACACCACACACCCTCCTTTCCTCTCCCCAGTCTTGTGGACAGTCACTAATTATTACAGCACCATCAGCACCCTTGTTCTGGGATATGGGAGACGGCAAGGAACGGGACAGAACTTCTGCCTCCCAGCTTAGTTTTCTAGTGGGAGATGGTAAAATACAAATGGCAAATAGGGAGGAAAGAACCATGAGAGAAACAAACTGAGGACAAGGAGGCAGGTGGGGCAGTCTGTAGAGAGGAGGAGTGTGCGCACTGCGTCCCCTGCTGGCAGGAGAGGGAAGCAACAGGCATGGGAAGGCCCAAACAAGGAGCGCTTCTGTTAGTTCAAGGCCCCCATGGAGGACATGGAATGGTTGGCAGTGGGGTGTGCATGTGAAGAGTTTGGGGTGTGACTAAAAATAGTAGTGTCTTTCTGCTTTATATTTTTTGTTACCACACCCCACCCTTATGTGTGTAGACACACATACATACTCATATGTGTGAGTGTATGTGCCAGGGGCATGCCTGTAGAGGTCAGAGGACAACATCAGGTGTTGGTTCTCACCTCTCACCTTGTTTGAGACAGTGTCTCTTGTTTGCCACTGGCCAGCGAGCTTCCAGGACTAGTCAGCTGTCGCCATGTCCCATCTTGCCACAGGAATGCTGAGCTCACAGACTCACAGACCCATGCCAGTGTGTCTGGCTGGGCATCGCTGCTGGGGGTGCACACCTCCCTAGTCTTTAAACTGTTGTTCAGACAGCTTGCAGCCTGAGAAGACAGTGGCTTCACAGCCCAGAGGTGTGCCTCCCATCTCGTCTCCAGTGGGCAAGCTATACAGGGAGAGGAAGCAAAGGTAGCCAGGCATTCATTCCGTGTAGTCTCGCCCACTGGGCCCTGTTTCTCCTTCATCATTTTTCCTCTCTCTGTGTAGCGTGGAGGAAACCTCCCCACTAAGAGCCTCGGATTCTTCCCGAGCCAGCTTTTTGGCTGGCATCCAGATTGGAGGTTAACTCAGAACAAACAATCCATTAGCAGTGTGTGTGTGTGCAGGTTCCATCTACGGAATGAAGCCTGTTATGTTCGTCTGTAGTCTATAGACTTGATCGCCTAGACTGTGAAATGTCCACTTCACATTGGTATGTGATCTGTCTTCTTTTGCAGGGTTCAACTCCCTTGTCGGGGGAGTGATGGGCTTCTCCATCCTCCTGAGTGCCGAAGTGTTCAAACACAACGCCAAAGTCTGGTATCTGGATGGCAGCATTGGTGTCCTGATCGGCCTCACCATCTTTGCCTATGGGGTCAAGTACGGCTCTGCTTTTAATCTTTGATCACCCAGGGGGCGGGGATGCTCTGAAAACTCTTCTTTCCCCCACCCCTTTTCCAGCCAGGAGATGAAGAAAGGGTCTGATGTTTTATTCCTTTGTGCCTCAGGCACGAGTGCTGTGTTTGCCATTCCTGGGGAAATGTGAGCAAACATCTTCCCACCCCAAATAGGGCACAAGAACTGGACCGAAGTGCTGGTCCCATCCATGTCTCGCTTGGTGCAGGTTCTTGGGCTTATTCACAGGAGCACAGATGAGGAGCTACTTAGAGGCCTGCAGGTTTTCTAGTTGACTTTCTAGTGCTGTGATCCACACCATGACCAAAAGCAGCTTGGGGAGGGAAGGGTTTATTTATTTATTTTTTAAATTTCTTTCTTTTTTTTTTTTTTTTGGATTTTTCGAGACAGGGTTCCTGTCCTGGACTAGCTCTTGTAGACCAGGCTGGCCTCGAACTCACAGAGATCTGCCTGCCTCTGCCTCCCGAGTGCTGGGATTAAAGGCGTGCGCCACCACCACCCGGCTCTTTTTTTTTTTAATTTATTTATTAAGCATATAATGTACTGCTGGCAAGGTGGTTGTGAGCCCCCATGTGGTTGCTGGTAATTGAACTTGGGACCTCTGGAAGAGCAGCCAGTGCTCTTACCCTCTGAGCCATCTCTCCAGCCCAGAAGGGTTTATTTAATCTTGTACTTCTGCATCACAGCAATCAATGGGGGCAATCAGGGCAGGGACTCAAAGCAGAAACCTGGAGGCAGGAGCTGAAGCAGAGGCCATGGAGGGGTGCTGCTTACTGGCTTGCTCCAACATGCCTTTCTCAGTTTTCTTTCTTACAGAACCTAAGACAACCTGCCCAGGGTGGATGGCAGGGCTACAAAGGGCCGGGCCATCCCATATTAATCATTAATCTAGAAAATACCCCTACATACGTACCTACAGGTCAACCCGAGGGAGGCATTTTCTTAATTCAGTCTCCCTCTTCATGGATGACCCCAAATTGTGTCAAATTGACCAACAAAATGAAACACAGCACAACTAGCCAGCTCAGTGGGTGACCTTCAACCAGCGCCACCATTGGAACGCCTCACCCTAATGAGCCCCTCATAACTGCATATATGCAATAGCCTGCAGATAGCCTTCCTATTCCATGTACTCCAGCATATCCCATGAGGCCATGGAAGCAGCTGGGGTAGAAGATGCGCAGCTGGGAGGAAGGTGTGGGGCAGGCTAGTGTGAAGGCTGGGATCTCAGGTGAGCGTCTGATGACCCATCCTGCCCCATCCTTCTCTAAGGGATGTCGACCGGCCAGCCCTTGAGGGTCGCCTGTGGGTCAGTGTCGCTGCCTTGAGTACAAAGGCGGTGGCTGTCGTGCCCAGAGGACAGGGCTGCACAGCACTGACCTTTCTCACAAGATTGGAAAAGGCCTCATGGGATACAGCCTTCCCTGTTGGGTGGTCTTCTACGAGTGAAGTGGGAACTCTTGGAAGAGAAAAGCCTTTTACACTTCAGACACTCATTTTCTTCTTCCTTGTTCTTTTTGTAAGCATTTATTTATTTATTTATTTTGTATACAATATTCTGTCTGTGTGTATGGAGCCGGCCAGAAGAGGGTACCATACCTCATTACAGATGGTTGTGAGCCACCATGTGGTTGCTGGGAATTGAACTCAGGACCTTTGGAAGAGCAGGCAATGCTCTTAACTGCTGAGCCATCTCTCCAGCCCTCTTCCTTGTTCTTTTATGCACTAAATGGCCCCCTTTCTTCCTCTATACTGTGGGTTCAGAATTATTATTATTACTATTATTATTGTTGTTGTTTATTTTTAAGTCCAGGTTGCCTTAGAGTCACTCTGTAGCCAAGGATGGCTTTGAACTTCTGATCCACTTGCCTTCATCTTCAGAATGCTATAATAAGGGTCTCCGTGATGCCCAGGTGAAGGTCATCTGAGCATCCTTCCTGTCACCTGATGCCATGTGTATTGCAGGGAATCAGAGAAGGCCAGGCAGAGGCAGCCCTAGGCTTAGCAAGGCTTTACAAAAGGGACCAGTCCTGGGGCTGGAGAGATGGTTCCATGGATAAAGGTGTTTGTAGCCAACACTGATGATCTGGGTTCAATCTCCAGGACCCATATGATTAAAGGTAGGAGAGAACTGACCTCCACAGTTACCTGTGGTGTCTGTGCAAACACACACACACACACACACGCACACACACACACACGCACACTAAAATGTAAAAAGAAAATGTAAATAGGCCTACTCCATGCAAAGGGTCACCCTGGATGGAGGCAAAGCCATCTTAGCATGGGGTCCACTTACTGAAAAAGTAGCCCAATGCCAGTCCCTGGATATGGCCTCTAAGGCTTGTCTTGTCCTTAGGGAGAATTGTTCCTGTCGAGGTGCTGTATTTTTTAAAAGTTAACTGATTCCTGGCATCCACTAGGGTACTGTCCATATTTTGAGGACCTGACAAGTTCTTTTCCAAAGCAGCACCACTGTGCGCATTCCCAGCAGCCATGTCTGAGGTGGTCCTTGCCAACACTTGTAACTATCTCTGGGTTTGAGGACTCAGGCATCAAAGTGAATGAAGTGTCCCAACACCTTACAGTGTGGACGAACTAACATGCCAGATGAACATGAAGGCCATATACTTTTGATCTGCAAACTTCAGAATAGATCCACTTGAAGAGTCACAGAGTAGATCATTGGTTGTTTGGGAAGAGATGTGGAAGACGGAGCAGGGGTAACCATTAGTGTGCACAGAGGATAAGAAGAATGTTCTGGAATTAAGACAATGTGGATGAACACACAGCCTCACATGGGTGCAGGAAACCACTGAGCTGTCTGCTTTGAAAGGGACAGTGACGTGGCATGTGGGCAGAATTAATAACAGCTAGACTCGGGGGCAGAGGCAGCTCAGGTGGGGAAGCACAACTATGTGAACATGATCCCTGTGACCCACATTGAAAAGGAGAGCCAGCTGAGGTGGTGCATGCCTGTAATTCCAGACAGGAAGAACATCACCCAGCCACCCCGCCTAGCAGGGTGCGTTCCAGGTAAAGATGAGAGACCCTGCCGGGGAAAATCAAAGTGGACAAACGGACAAGGTTATCTGACTTCCACAGCTCCCCCCCCTCCCCCCCGCCATGCATAAGCACACACCACCCATGCACCTGAACACACAGGAAAGGACACAGACGCACACATACACAAATAACCTCCGTTTCCCCAAGCTCTCCTGGTATCAAGGTGACCCTGCCTGTCTTCGTTTCTGCAGGCTCCTCATCGACATGGTGCCCCGAGTGAGACAGACGCGTCACTACGAAATGTTTGAGTGAAGGCGGCTGAAGGGGCGGCAGGGACGGCCCTGGGGAAGAGCGTCACCATGGCGACGAGAGGTTTCCACGAAGGCAGTTGGTGCCAATATTTAACTGCACATCCAGTTTCATTTGGGGAAGTTTTCGTTCATAGAGTCTGTCATCACGGGATGAGGTCGGCCTGGAGGCTGCGCCTGCCCTACATCCTCACCCTGTTGCCCACTGTCAAACACGTTAGGATGCTGCTGACCATGGGAAGGGCTGCCGCGCTTCCCAATCTTGAGCCGGAAGTGACATGTTCTATTTCCTGGGGTCAAACAGTTCTTGAAAGCAGGATTGGGTCTCTGCTTGATGGGAAGCCACCTGTGGCATTTACTGTCAGCCAAAACCAGATAGTAACTGACCGAGTCACCGCCAACCAGATAGTAACTGACCGAGTCACCGCCAACCAGATTGTAGCTGACCGAGTCACCTCCCACACGCGGCCAAGGCGCCTCCAGGGTCACACTCCTCTCTCCTTGCAGCAAATTTCCTCCTAACGTGAATCAACCCGTTTCATACACTTTTACTAATCTTGACACTAAGCAGATTTGTTCAGAGGGAGGCCATTCTATTTTTTAAAGTATTTAGTGGCAGATGAATGAGCTTTGCATGGACAGGCTACGTAAGCACACAGCCCTTTATTCCACATCCAGATCCTGCCCATCCATGAAAACCCAGGAACCATTTTTGAGAGATGTGAAACTCTATACATTTATTTGTAATAAATAATTATAATCATTACCTGCATTCGCGTATCTCTGTATGTTGTGCTAAGTGGTCGCGCTCCCTCACGGTCTCTGAGAAGTAGGTCACTCGTCCAGAAGGGACGAGATGTCCCCAGCTTACGGAACGTGAGGTGTAAGTGCTGCAGACACGTCCCCCATGCTACCGTGTTCTGTAGCTGGCACAGCCCTGTGGAATGCAGATTCCACAAATCTGTCCACACCCTTCCTTGTAGTCAACAGACATGGAGTTCAGGGAGTTGAGCCTCACATGACGGTGAATTCCACGGTGTGGTGTCTTTTTATTGTGAGAACTACCCAGGAGGGCCCCTAGTTTCAGAGAGTGCCTTGAGAATCCCAATCCTCCTGCCTCCGCTTCCTGAGTGCTGGGATTGAGGGTGTGCACCACGTCCTGAGTGCTAGGATTGCGGGTGTGCACCGCCAAGTCAGTTTGTATGCTGTTGGGATTCAAACCTGGGGCTTTGTGTGTGTCTTAGCCAGCTGTCCGCTGACTGAGATCCCCGGGCAATGCTCATGGCCCACAGATGCCTCCCTCCAGGCTGCTTCTTCTCTTTCAGGTGAATGGAGGCGCTCTGCCTTTTACCACCCCAGTCGGACAAAGTTTTAAATGCACCCCGCAGTCAGAACTATTTCTGAAGAAAAAAAAAAAGTCTAGCAGTTCATTTTCCAGTTCAGCTCCTTCAGTGAGAGTGGAAGACGGAAAGACTGCTTTCCATTCAGTATTGCGGTGGACGTAAGGGAAGAGTACGTAGTGGTGAAGCCCTTCCCCTACTCGTGCGTGCGTGCGTGCGCGTGCACGCCAGACGTCAATTTCATGCGTGGTACCACGGGATGCTGTCCATCTTGTTCTATGAGACAGCGTCTTTAACTGGCCAGGAACTTGCTGGTTTGGCTGGGCTGACTGCGTAGCCCCAAGGATATACCTGCTTTTGCACCTCCAGAACTGGGATTACAAGTGTGTAGCACACTTGGCTTTTTTCATGGCTTCTAGGGATGAAACTCCGGTTCTTGTGCATGCCTCGCAAGGGCTTCCCCACGCAGCCATTTATTTCCCTGGCCCCAGGTCATAAGTTTTCTATGCATGCCAACCATGTTGTCTCTTCGAGAACTGGGGTTTCAAGCATGTGCCATCATGCGTGCCTTTTTAAAAAGTGGATTTTGAGGCTTGGAGCCAGGCTCACACGTGCATAGCAAGTGTTTTCTGAACCCAGCTATCATACACTCAGCTACCGAACTTCCCAGTCCCCGTCTATCCGCTGCTTGACCTTTGACAGTGTGTTGGCACCAGGAGACGCAGCTTTAGCGCCCCGCCCCAATCACTACCACCTGTCACACAAGAAAAGTTTATTGAAAAATAAAGCTCTCCCTAGGTTTTCTACAGCACAGGAAAACAAAGCAGTATTCTGTTTGTCTGGTACAGCAAGCAGGGGGCAGTGACACCTCACTGACAGCATCCTGTGGCTGAGCCCCAGGAGTGACAGTAGGAAACAGTGTACCGGGATCCATCTGGAGACACAGCCACAAATGGCCATGACAGCAGCTACAGTGGAAGGGACGTCACCATGTCCTTTGGCATTGTGGTTGCGTTATTTTAATACTTGGACTGGGTTCAAGGTGGGGAGAATGATGTGCCCCATGTCTGCTGTGTTCCAGCTTCCATGGGCTGCTGTGCTTGCTGTGCACCCACCACACCTGCGTGTGTCCCAGTTGCAACCCACATCTGCATGTGTGTCCCCGCTGCAGGGGTGGGGGTGGGGTGAAGGCAGCCTTGTGAGCCTCAAAACCTGGGGCAGAATGAAGCTCTGAAAAAGAAAAATTCAATCATTTCATCCCTTAAACGTAAAATCATTGACTGCCTGAGAAGAGCTGGAAAAACACCCTGGATTCCAGGGAATTCTCCTCCCCCTTTCGTACCTGCAATCCACCCAGATGTGTTGGGCCAGGGAAGAGGCTAAATCCGCAAAACATAAACAGCAAAGTGGTATTCAAGTCACCTCCGCGTCCAGTTGTGAAAAAAGTCAAAAATCCCTGCCGTGGGGTCTCATGTGGCTCCTTTGGGGGTAGTGGTGGATTTTTTTTTTTTGGGGGGGGCAGGTCATGGGATTACTCTTAGGGTGGGAATGAGGCAGAGGTAACCAACCTGCTGGAAGCCACCCTGTCCAGCAGGGGGCAGCAAAGGGTTTCCCAGGAACTGTAAATTCAGTTCATTCTTTCCCTTAAACAAATTGGTTCTATTATCACATTATAGAGGAATAAAAATTAAACTCTAATTCAAGGAGTGCAACTTGTGAGAGAACTTTTAATTTTGAGCTAAAAAAGTTCCCCAAAGAAACCCCTGGAATGTTCCAGAACATATTGGTGGATTCAACTTCCTTTAATAAATTCTTTCAGTCTTGTTTCACGGAGTGCTGAAGACTGACATATTTCCCAATCAGCACATTCAAGAAAAACGGTATAATTCCAGTGAGCAGAGTAGGCACAGAGCTGAAACATTTGTAACAACAAATTTCTATACCATTGATTGACTCAACAAGATTTTTGTGTAGCCATCATGTTTGAATCAACAGATAGGGGGTGAACGCAGGTCTTTATTTCTCAAGTTTTATGATAAACTACTAATATCAATATTGAACATTAGCCAGGCTTCCTACGAGCCAGGCACTGTGCTATGGGATCCCCACAGAACCCTAAATGCTAGGAGAGCTAGATTAATTCTTATTTTCTGTATCCAAGACTATACAGCTAATTTGGTCTTTTGCTATATGTAAAAAACAAAATCCAAACCAAAAAAAAAACTTGACTGCACTTTCTGTCGAAGGCAACGAGAACGAAAGGAACTCCTCAGCTCCAAGCCGCTGGCTTCCCGAATGACTCTAAATCTATTTCTGCCACCCGTCTACTCTAACGAAGACATGCCCTGAAGCCACACAGGGACAGATGGGCCAAGAAGAAAGCCCACGGGAAAGGAAAATAGTTTTAAATAAATAAAAGAGTCCAGGCTTGGAATAATAACACACGTAGCCGAGCCTGTCGTTAGCAAAATCCTTGGCTTTTCTTTTTCAGTCAAGAAGTTTGGGAGAGGGTGGCGGTGTCTAATCACACACAATCTAGGTGACCCACCCTGGTCTGAAGCATAACACACACTCACCTATAGACGACATACAGTTTCAGTGCAACCCAACTCACTGATCGGTCATTACCGTGAGCAGTCCTGCAGCAACACCCACGTCCATTCACCAAGGAAGAGAAGAAAGGGAGTGGACATGGCTCACCTCCATCATGCTAAATAGTTGAAGTGTTTGGGGGTTACTCCTTCCACATAGATGACCTCAAAGCTAATCTCCTGCCTCAGCAACATGTCAGCCAGGGCCAGGGTGACAGGAATGAGGCCTTTCACTACCTTGTTCACTATGAGGTCCTGAGGATGCCAGCTAAGGGATTCCTGGCTCCCTCAGCCCTATTCTGGGTGTGTGTGTGTGTGTATACAGACACCCTACATTGGGAACATATACAAACACACACATACACACTAAATGTTTCAGTCTTGTGCGCATACATACACTGGGAACATAACTAGCCATGTGTGTGCACACATACTGTGGATATATGCAGTTAGCCCAGGCTGGAACAATCTGCTGTCAGCCTTCAAATTCCAACCCCAAAGAGAAATGAAGACATGTCAGGAAGACATGAACCACCACACACACACACACCACCACCACCGCCGCCGCCACAACAACAACAAAAAACAACAAAAAAAGGCAAATATTTCCAAACACTCACCAGGCACCTAAAACAAGTGATTCATCTCAGAAACAAAAGTCTAAAACAGACAAAGCAAAAACTTCACAACATTTCCTTTTGGACAGGAAATCAGAGCACATACAGAAATGCCCGAGCTGCGGACTGGGGTTCAAGCACTGGCCCTCTCAGGAGTTCTCGCTCTGCCAAGGCCATCACCCTCTGAAGAGAAGCATTCTCTCTCTTAGTGAGTTACAGAAAGGTTTTCCCCTAGGTGAAGAGCCTAACATCACACAGGGGAAAGAACTCCAAAGACGGGTCAAGATCTGACGGCAGTGCCAGAAAACACAAGTCCTGATTTCAGGTTTCTCCCCTGCGGAAGGTTCGATCACACACAGGCCGAGGTTTCTCCAGGATCATCAATGCTTTGTCAGTGCGATGGGCTCCCGGCCAAGGCTGTGAGTTCCTTCTTTGCTGATGTCCACACCCGACAGGCAGAGTGCCCCACCCCCCACTGTCAGTTTCTCCTGGAGGGTCACTTGGCCACACCTTGCTACCTCTGGGCCCTGGGAGCTGGTATATGTTAAGGGGACACCCCACCTGTTGCTAATGCCCTTCACAACTAGAGTGCAGCTGGTTAGCCTCAAGAACGGGAGCCCACCAGGGAAAGTGAGGCTTGCTTCTGGCTAAAACCGGAAGAGGAATTTATTCCATGAGAGAAAGAACGTGACTTGGGTTCTGAGCTGGAGAGGAATAGGAAGGTGGAGAGAGCCTGAGCTCAGGCCCAGGCAGCTTCTGCAGGTGGGGGCAAGGCTGCCTCCCCTCTCCAAAATCCTTTACAGCCATCTACAGCAAGGGGAGCACTTCAGCGTGGGGTACCCCCTGCTGGTTGAATGCCAGCACTGTCACCCATAGCGTGGTGGACTCAAGTGGAGAGGCCTAGGAATTGCTGGTCTGGAAACTAGCAGATTCCCACAGATCTGGTGTGCAGCCAAGAGGATGGCTCTCAGGGAAAGCTCTTCCTCACAAAAAGACGGCCGGTTTTCTTCCATCCTGCAGCGGGAAACCACTTTTGCAAGGCTTAATAGACAGGTTTCATAGCTAGGCTTTTAAACTTTCGCCTGCATGGTGGCTCGACCTGGGCAAAGATGATTCTAGCCAGGTCTTGGAGAACCTGTCAGTCTTAGGATAGAATCCCCTGACATTCCCCCTCCCCACTCCACTTCTTTCTCTAGGACTGAAGCTCAGCCCCTTAGCTGCCTATCTCAGGGCCTAAAGGGGAAAAAAAAAAAGGCTGGAGATGTAGTTGGTGTGACATTTGCACCCAGGTAGACATTAAGAGCCAGGCAGATCAGATTTCCCAGACCTCAAAGTCCCATGCCCCACCTCTCCCCACCTTGGTCAGGTGACCACAAAGCCGAATCCTCCTTCCTGCTGCTTCTGGACTGCTCTGCTAGTCCTGGGCCTTGCTAGGTTTCCCAGGCTCCACCTGGCCACTAGGAGGCACTGGGTAGCAAGAGCAGGCCAGGAAGTCTACTCCAACAGGACAATGCTAACAGCAAGAGGTAGAAGAGGGTTGGAGAGAAGTGTGGGAGGTGTCTCTAGAAACTCACAAATGTACAGAGCACAGACACAACGCTTCAGCAGGGACGGACACGCACAAAAAAGCTCCAGATGTGAAGAGTGGAGATCCCAGCATGTATGACCAGGCCAGCCCGCTGACGGGACCTCTACCGGGCTGCCCAAACTCCTTGGAATAGTGCTTCAAGTAAACCCACCTCTAGTCTCCGGCCCTCTGTAAGCCATGCCCACTGGGGAGCAGCCAGAAAAACACCTAGTGTTGATTCCAAACTGTCCTCACCTCCCCAGAAACCATCAAGGAATCAAGGAAGAAACCATCTTCCCTGGAATTCAGCAATAGGGGACATTGATGGGGACACTGTATGAACCCCTCACGCTGCTAACTCATTCTAACCCAAACTTTAGCTGTTCTGAAGCTGGAGACCACCCACGCCACACACACACACACACACACACACACACACACACACACACACTCCAAGTTCAAGGGCAACTCTTGGGGTCTTCAGTTTCCACTGTCCTCCTTAGAGCGAGGCAGGGCCAGTTTACCACCAAGAAGAATTACACAATCCCGTGTTTCTGCAACAGAGGAATTCTAACCAGAAATTAGGGCCAAGCTGTGAAGGTGGGTAGGGAGGGGACACACAGGAAAGCAGCCTCTCTTGTTCACAGCCCAGCCTGTCTTTGGCACTTGGCAGGGCCCTCAGGACACACAGGCACACGTCCCCACCAAGGCTATCTGCCTTTTAGCTGCCACCTGCCAAGCAACACACAGGATCATCAGCTCTAGGACGCTGCTCTGACAGGGGCTGGCTGTGTTTGCAAAGCAAAATCAAAAAAACAAAAACAAATAAAACAAAAACCAACTGTTTTCTGAGACAGGATCTCTCGTAGCCTAGGCTGGCCTTGTCTTTGCTATGTAGCCAAGGCTAACCTTGAATGTTTGATCCTCCAGCCTCCACTCTTTACCTGTGATTCCAGGTGTTCACCTGTTTTTATGTAGTGCTGGGGATGGAACCCAGGGCTCCATGCATGCTAGACAAGCATGCCGCAAACCGAGTCACATCCCTACTCACAATGATAATTTTCTTTTCTGTGCTGCCACCTGCTGTCAGGAGCCAGGCTCCCACAGCTGCCGTCCAGCACGCCACCAGCCCCTCTGCATCCTGCGTGAGGCCAGCAGAACAAGAAGATCCTGAAGATGGGTGATTAACAGTGTGGGGACAAAAAGGAAACTGGTCAACCCCTTTCCTCCCTCCCGACCCAACCCCCACCCTCCCAAATAAATAAATTAATGGGTTTAGGAATGTCCCCAAAGTTCTTTCCAATCGGCTCAATTCCTCTTCCTGTTCTGTTTTCAGTTGAATGCGTCTCCAGACTTTTAGCCTTCCTTTTTTTTTAAAAAAAAAAAATAATAATAACCCCGGAGCAGCTGCCTGGACACTTTCCGGGACAGAGAGGACATTCGTTGCACCAGGGAGAAGCCAGGCCCCTGGTCTGACCTTTGTTCTCTTGCGGTTTTGGTGTAAACTCCTGGGATGCACTGACTGCAAGCTGGAGAAGTACCAAATCCAAGCCCTGGACCAAAGAGTTCGGGCTCCGGTCAGAGTCCCTGAATGACTTCGGCCCCCCTGGCCCTGCCCAGCAGAGCCACCTCTGCCATCTGAATGAACCCGGGTTGGCTATGCTATAAGCAGTCTTTGCAGAGGGCCACTTGGCCCTTGATGAAGTCCCGGCAGGGGCAGATCCTCTGGTGCGTGGGGTGGGCCCCGGCACAACTGAAGAGCAGGAGATCCCCTTGGAACACACAGTGCTTGCTCTTGGGGTGGAAGGATGGCACCAGGATGTCCTTATACAGTTCTGAGCTTTGGCAGGTCACCTTATACCTAAGGGGAAGAGAAAAGTACATGAGGCAGAGGTGCTGGGGCAGGACCTGTCCACCCCACATTGCTGGATCATCTGCTTTGTGGTGTTGGGGCATATCCCATTGCCCTGCTTCAGAGACGGTATCCTCTGCCTGACTCTGAAGTTCTCCACATCTAGGGAGCTCAGCCATGCAAAGAAAAGCACGCGTGCAGGGGACCAGCTCTGAGGATGGGCTCCTTGGGAGAAGCGTTATCTGTCGTGGAGAAAAGCTGAGAGCAGCCTGCACACTTGAACAGGGGATGAGCATGCTGTGCTTTGGGACTCTGTGCAGCTGCTGGAAAAACAATGGAGAAGAAATGTGTGTCCCATCCAACGTCTGGGAGGAGGCAGGAAGTGCAGGGTGAGAGGTGGGGTGAACGTGGTGGGTGAAAGCCAAATGGGGCTCGAGAAGATGGTTCAAGCCAGCAAAGTGAGGGCTGTGCAAGCATGAGGACCGGAGTTCCATGCCTAGGACCCAAGATAAACAAAAAAAAGCCAGTCGGTCGGCATGCACTGGTAACCCCAGGGCTGGAGACCACTGGGAGTTTATAATTAATTAGCCAGCCTAGCCCACTTGGTGAGTCCCAGGAAAACGGGAGACCCTGTCCCCAGAAGCAAGGCACCTGAGGCATGGTAGCTGTCTTCATATGGATATTAGTGTACCCACACAGACATATGTACACACACACACACATACACACACACACACACACACACACACACACACACCCTAGATCTATACCCCGATGTGCAAGCAATGGTCGCTTCTGAGAAGACCAGGACAAAGCAACGTACTATTGAAGTAGTTTTAGATATACACTTGATATTTAGCTGCGAATGGTGGCTTATACTGGCAATCCCAGTTGAGTACAGGGTTAAACTGGGCTACATAGTGACTTCTAGGCCAGCATCTGCTACAGAGTGAGACACTGTCTCAAAGCAAAGCAAACACCAAGGAAGAGGCTGGCATGGTGGTTCATGGTGGTCTATTATCCTAGCATTTGGGAAGTGCAGGCAGTAGGGCCAGCAGTTCGTGGTCATCACCAGTTGCACAGTGAGCTCAAGGCCATTCTGGGCTACATGTGACCCTGTCTTAAAATAAGTAAAAGAAAGGGGGAGAGGAGAAAGAGGAAAGTGAGAATAAAGAGGAGGAGGCAGAGGAGGAGGCAGAGGAGGAAAGAATGTCTACTTTCACTCCTAACTGCGCTCTACACAGGTAGGGCCCTTACTCTGGGTTGGCCAATTGGGGTACCCTTTGAAGAACCTGGGAGCCTACGTTTGTCACTTGTGGTGTTGTGATGACAAAAAGACTGATCAGAGTCACTTAAAGTTTCAAGTCTGGCTCACAGATGCTTTGCCAGTTGTTGTGCCAGAGCCAAGAAGTAATTCAGTGCACCTGAGAATATTCTTATCCTGCAGGTAAGAGAACAGAAGTGACAGGTAACCAATCCCAGACCCATGAGAAGCTGGGTGTGGCGGTGTGGCCTGTAACCTCAGCCCTCCTACTTCCAGATGGGAGGCAGACACAGGACATTGCGTGGGAGCTCACAGGCCAGCACTGGAGAAAACAAAGAACCTGTTTCAAACAAGGTGGAAGGTGGGGAACAGCTGCGGTTGTACTCTGACCTCCACACAGATGTCATTGTCCGTGAAGACCCACACTGACATACATAAATGCATGCATGTCCACATACATCATAGAAACAGACATCATGCACACACATATCACACAAATCCAGGTCGTACACATATCATGTGTGTACGTGTGAGTGTGAGAGTTGAGCTCTTTCTGGGCTGCAACCTGCTCCCCCTTTTCCCACAGTGTCTCCTTGAAGCCCACAGCTGGGAGAGCAAATCCAGGCACCTCTCAACTGGACTCTAAGGCAGAAGTACAGAGGCAGCAGGCCCTGTGTCCTCCCACTGTCGAGGAACTTACTTCAGCAAGTCTTTTTCCTTGTTGAGGTGCTGGAAGAAGGACGGCTCACAGATGAGCTGGTTCTCCTGGCACACTTGCTTGCAGGACTGCCCTGGCTCAGCCAGCTTCACCTGCAAGGCGCTCAGGGGCGGCCACATCACCTGGCCATGGCAGAAGTCCTAGAAATGACAGGGAAGACATCATCAGCTAGAGGACCAAGGACACAATGAAGCAGCTTCAGTCTCCCAACCAACTACAGGAGGCACCACGCTCAGAAAGTGATAAAAAGGACACAACCTTGGGACAGGTTATGGCCTCTTTAAACACCCGTTTCCAGGCCAAGGATGTGGCTCAGTAGGAAGAATAGCTTTCCAGCTGCATGAAGCTCTGGTTCTATCCCCTTGCACTGGATAAACCAGGAAACATACATAGCTGTAATCCCGCTCTTGGGAGGCAGAGCGGGAGGATCAGAAATTCAATGTCATCTTTAGCTACAAAATGAGTTTGAGAACAGCCTGGGCTAGAGGCTCTGTCTCAAAATGCACCACACACACACACACACACACTCTTCCTCATTCTCCATGAGGACCATCTTTGGGACCATTCCCACTAGCTCTGACTTCTCCTTTTGCATTTTCCAAATACTACACACAGGTCGTGCCTACACTAAGTCATGGGTAGCACAGTCCTGTGGGTCTGGATGCTGTTACTAAGGGAACGGCATGACTGTGCAGACTCACAGTACGTTAAATGGAAGTGCAGTCTATACTAATGGCCACTGCTCTTTGCCATTATAGTGTGTAGAAAGCTTGCATATGACAGCTGCCCATCCATCAGAATAGCTGTAAGACAGAACCAACAGTCGAGAGACGCACCGGCATCTGGAAAAGCTTACAGTGTGTTCTTGCTGGCTAACGTAAGCATCTTTACTTAAGTGCTCAGGAGGGAATGGGTACCTCTCACAGCCCTTAAAGACTGTAATGGAGAGAGTTTCGATCCAGCATACACGGAGTTTCCTAGGTGACTAGACAGCAGGGGAGGAGTACCAGCTATCATACTTGTCTCCTTGCTGTGACAAAATGCCTGCCAAAAGTGACTTCAGGGAGAAAGGGCTTGTTCTGGCTCACCTGATGGGACAGTCATCATGGTCAAGACGCAGAGCGAGAAGAGTGCTTGCCTCCTCCCTTTTACCCAGGTTATGGGACAGGGCCACCTATATTCAGAATGGCTCTTCCCTCTTCAGCAAGCCCTTTCTGGAAACACCCAGAGGTCTGTTTCCATGTGATTGTCAGTCCAGTCAAGTTCACAATTAGATAAAAACAGGCAATCCACAAGGACCCCTAGACCAGAATGTACCCGAACCAGAGGCAAGTGAGAATTTCTCGGCCTCTTGAATTTGGTGACTAGAGTTTGACCTTTAATATCCTTAAAGGGCCATGAATGGAAAGCTTTGTCCCCAGTGAGGCATCTCCTGGGAGATGTTGGAGTCTTTGGGAGGCTTAGAGCCTTCAGGACATTGTGAGCTTGCCTCTGAAGGGATGTTGGAGTCCCTTCCCGTCTTCCCAGTCATGAGCTAGGCAAGTTTTTGCTGTTGTTATTTGTTTGTTTAGATTGATCTTATTTTTAGTGCACATATGCATGTGTGTGTGTTTGTATGTGTGGGTGCCAGCGCGTGCATGCGTATGCATGTGGGGTCCACAAGAAGGTAGTGGATTCACTGGAGCTGTAGTTAGATACAGGCAGTTATAAGCAGCCTGTTGTGGGTTTGGGGAACTGAACTCGGATCTTCTGCAAAAGCAGCAGGTATTCTTAGCCACCACGTCTTCACTGAGTCCCTAGCTGAGCAATTTTGCTTTGGGACATGCTTGGCCATGATGTACTGCTTCACGACAAACCCACAGCAATGAGGCCCAGTCACGGATAGAACCCTAAACTGCACTGATAGAAAGCGTCCCTGTTCTGAGTTCATCATCTTGGGCGTGTACAATGGCTACGGAGGGCTCAGTAGCAAACCTAACTTACAGCAGCCTGGGGAGATGCGAAGCCTACCAAGGCTAAATGTTCAGGTTCTGGCTTTCACGACTTTGGTCTCTCTCCTTGGACGGTCCCTGGGCTGTATCCTTGCACCTGGTGTTTCAGAGCGTCAGAGTTTCCTTTCTCATTCATTCTTACCTTCCTACAAAGCTAAATCTGAAGCTAGCAGACCAGATGGGCCAGATCTGAAGCCTGAGCCCAGGACACTGGCTCTGGGCACAGGTCCTGGTCCAGCTCCGGGCTCATCTGAACTGTAGAGGATCTAGTAGAAGAAGAACGTGGCTCAGGGGAGATGGCAAAGGGCAGGCATTCACTGATACCCTTTAAGTTCCCTGGGAGAGTGGCTTCTCCTAGGGCAGCCTATGGACAAGGCCAGGCAGGCATATGGGGAAGTCGGGCTTCACGGATGAACCGTCACCCTGCATCTGTTCTGGAGCAGGGCAGGAGTCCTTGCAAGGCTCAGACAGTGGGAGCTACCCTTGAGGCTGCATGGTGGAGCTGAGGTGACAGCGGCTGTCTTCCCCAGGGCCCTCCCACGCACATGCCTCGCTCAAGTCTGCACTAAACAAAAAGGCCCCCAGGTACTTGCTCCTGCCCATTATGATGGATTGGCGTACTCTTAGGAGTCTGTTCTAGGGACCACAAGGTCCAAGAACAGAAAAAAAAAATAGCATTAAAGCCTTAAACTTAGTAACTATCTAGACAGTTTGAAGGTAACAATTGATCAGAGGGAGGCCATGTTGTCAGAGAAAGCATGGCAGAGGAGGGCTGGCCCCCAGCGGGGGACTTCACAGATGTCTTGCAAGCCCCCTCCACCTGACCCATATAGGAAATGGGAACAGTGACCCCTGCCCTTCTTTCCTGTGCAGTTCTGAGGATGAAAGGGAGACAAGGTAAGACGGAGGCCGAGAATAACAGTGCTGGGCACTGCAGCGGGGTGGAGTCACTGGGTCACACCCACAGTTTATCTATGACAGCACCTCTTGGTTCAGTTGCTTCCAGAGCACAGCAGGAATGCAAGTGTGGGGCCCCAGCCTCCTCTCAGCCACCGTGCAATGGCCAGTGGGTGATGGGGAAGCTGCCTCACTGTTGCCAACTGCTCCATTTACACATTCCTCCATTCTACAGATCCTTGTTAAGAGACAGGAACAGGAAGGCGTGCGCCTGGCCTTAGAGGGGCAGTGCACAGTCTAGTAGTAAAAGGTTGGCACTTGCAAAGCCTTGAGAACAGCGAACCAGATGCCTATGGACATGGTGAAGGCCACCTGGAGGCTGGGCAGGGCTGGCTCTATGGGGAGGGGAAGAGTGGCGGTGGCAGCAATCAGAGGCGGCTTCCAGGAGATGTGGCCTTCTAGGCTGGGTTCTGTAGGCTATAAGGGAGCTAGCAGCTTACGGCCAACATGGCAGTAAAGAGCTACTGAATGGGACTGCCTGATTTTGGCTTCCTGGAGGCTTGGATAGGAGTAAAGTAGAAAAAGAGGCTATTCCAACCCAATGAGGCATCTCTGCAGCCAGGAGGAGGGCGAAACAGCCGCCGCCAATCTGGTTAACAAGCTCACTGGGGGCACACGCCATCTGCAACTCCTCTCTTCCCGCCATCTTCCTCCCGCCATTGACGCACCTGTCTCTCAGTGTGTTTGGCTATTCTGAAATTGTCATGCAGGGACTAGAGATCAAGAATTCACCAACCGAGCTGTCAGTCAAAGCAATGCCTTCTCTCTCTGTTTCTGCACGCCCCACGTCTCTAAATGTGTACAAGTATGTGAAGGACCGAGGCCAATGTCTGGGGCTGTTCTTCAGCTGAGACTTGGTCTTCTGCTTCAGTGGGACCCTTCAAGCAGGCTGGACTGTGTGTCCAGCAAACCCCAGGGGTCCTTCCATCTCCATCTCCCCAGATCTGGGATTACAGGTGCATACCACCAAGCCTGCTTTTCCCTCTATGCTGGGGATGGAATTCAGGCCCTCACACCTATGTGGCCAGCACCAGACTGACCGAGCCATCTCCCTATCTCCCCCAGCATGACTGAGTCCAAGCACTGGGAAGGAGATACTGGTGCCAGCCCCATAAAGCAGGTTCAGCAGGAGCCTGGAGGAAGAGTGCTTCACCCAGTGCCCATACGGCTCAGGAAGACTGGGGGCCTGTCCTTATGAGGGGAACACTGAGTGGGGTTGGCTTGACCCTCCTCTGCTATGGCTGAATCAGGTGGGAGGGGCCAGGGGCTTGGTGTAAAGCAGAGGCTTCTGAACAAAAAAGCCAGTGACAAATGCCAAGTGTGGTGTGTGACAGGGTCTTTTCCATTCTATCCAGACCTTGACTGATTCCCCCCGGCCCCACTTGCCTCTCCATCCCTCCCTCCCTAGCTCTCTTCCTTCCTTCCTTCCTTCTTTTCTTTTCTTTTTTGTTTTTTTGAGACAAGGTCTCCCTCTATAGCCTAGGCTGGTCTTGAACTTGGAGTAATGGAGTCATCCACCTGCCTCAGTCTCTTGAGTGCTTTGGCCAAAGCCTGTAGAGAACATTTCCAAGTCTTGGTTGATGGGGCTGTTTGGGACTTTTAGGGGGTGCAGCTTTCCTAGAGGAGGTGGGTTACTTGAGGTAGACTTTGAGGTTTTATAATCTGGCCTTGCCTCCTGCTCATTCCTTTCTGCTCCCCCACTATGGATGCCATGCTACAAGTCATACTACGCTCTTGCAACTATAGACTGAACCCTGACTGCCGTGCAAACTCTGAGTGTGAACTCCGTAGGCATTGATGTGTTACGATGACAACAGGTTTTGTTAAAGAATTAGGTTGGTCCCTGCTGCACGTCTTGTAAAAAAAGTAACTGAATTGTAGGGGCAGGCTTTTTTGTTTTTTTTTTTTTTTTTAATTTTTCGAGACAGGGTTTCTCTGTGGTTTTTTGGAGCCTGTCCTGGAACTAACTCTTGTAGACCAGACTGGCCTCGAACTCACAGAGATCCGCCTGCCTCTGCCTCCCGAGTGCTGGGATTAAAGGCATGCGCCACCACCGCCCGGCTAGGGGGCGGGCTTTTTTATTTTGTGTGTGTAGACTTGTCACAGTGCACAGGGGTCACAGGACGATTTGTGGGATTGGTTCTCTCCTTCTATCACGTGAGTTGTGAGAACTGAACTTAGGTGGTGAACTG